GACGTCTTACACACTGCGTTGCTACATTGCCAGCCAAACTCTCATTCAAGGTGCTAGTCAGATGAGAACTGACACAGCACTGCCCAACAGTCTAATCTATCAGTCCAAGGAATGAAAATAATGTTTGTGATATTGACAGACACAAAAAAATCAGTCCGGGAGCTTTGTCACCAGACCTCGTATTACAGGTCCACAGTTGACGCCAACAGAAAATAGATGAAAAAATAATTTAAAAATCAAAATGATCTCTCTGTGTTCAAGCTACAAAGATCAGTTTGAAATAGTCTCACATGTTGTGTTCCAGTCGGAACGCTTTCTTTCAGCGTTAAGTTGATTTACGCCGAAAAATCACATCGTGCTAATACTTTTGAGCGCTACTGTAGGTAGCATGTCCATAATATCCCACATATAGCCATGATAGCCTCTCCCCCAAAAGCAGAATGTTGTCTTGCCCACAAATGTAGAGAGTGTGCCTACATTAGATGCTTGCTTTCTGGGCATCTAATGTTACTCATCTGGGCCTATAGGAGGATGGGGCACCATGGGTCACTTCTTATATGGGCCTGCAACTTAAGCACTTTTATTCTTCTGAAGCAATGGAAGGCTGTGCTTGCAAAGACTTACATCACCTGCACAATCCCATGTTTCAAATTTGTCAACCTACATGTGTTGTGCAATAAAGTCGTTTTTAAAATGGGGCACTGTGGATTCATGGTACGATGGGTCATTCCCATAATCATCACTAAAATTAACTTCAGTTGAATCAGTCATCACACAAGAAGTCTTTGCATCACAGGAGGAGAAGCTCTTGAATACTGATGCACTTCAAAGTTATCTAGAAAAATTAGGAACCTTTAATTGGAAAATAATATATGATTCATTTCATGTCAGAGAATATCACATCTGCTGGTGTTGAACCCTTCAGAGTCTTCTGCTTCTAATTGCACTTTATTAGATCAGAAAAAGACTGTAAAGGAAATCCTGATCTGCATTGGCAACTATCAGGAAACATTTGGTGCACTGAGATATGACCCAACAGGAGCCTTTGAAATAAAATCAATATTACAACCAGAGTAAGTTGAAATTGTAGCTCATAGCTGCAGGCATTGAACAACCACTCTCCCAAATCCAATTCTAAGAATCAAGACTTTTTATCAAAAGAAATTATCAGCAAAAATTGAGATGTCTCTGTCAATAAAAACGAAAAAAGTTTTTTCTATATTAAAACATCCATGCAATTTGCACTTTGGGTGAGGACTACTCTTTTTTCAACTACACTTTCCAGGCACCTCAGCTGAAAGATACAGTACCACCAGAAAGTTCGAGGCAGGTTGCAAAAATGATTATTTTTCAAGAAAAAGTCCAAAAAAATGAAACACTCTTTTTTCAAATGAAATGTAAATGATTAATCATGATTTTTATTAGTTGGAATTGTTCTTTTGTTTGTTATTTTTATTTTTTTTTTAAGACTTGCGAAATTTTCCCACCTGCCTCAAACTTTCTGGCGGTACTGTAACAGACATCATGATGAGAAACAGAGCTGGGAGAGCTATCAACAGCCTGACTCATGGTGCTCCATTCTCCCCTATATACAGATATGTCAGATACCACAATAAGCTGATGAGGTGTCAATTGAGCATGTAGCAGTTTTTAACCTTTCCTTTCTCATTCTTATGGAAAAGTTTCAGTGCAACATTTTACTGACAAAGTTCCTTGCATACAAAAACATTGGCCATATTTATACATTTTTAATTGATTTCCATAAACAAGGACAAAAGGCTGTAACAAGATGATAACCAAGTAATCATTGACAAATAATTCTCTTTTCAAATTGCAATTTTCCTTGGCAGTTTTGCTTAATGTATTCCTGATGATTATCTAATTTGAATAACAATTTATAACAAGAGCAAACTGAATCTGTATTGATGCTTATAGTGACTCAACTAATGGAAATGAAAACTTGTCTCATTAATAATGAGGAAAACAAACTACTGATTTGCACAATTTGTGCTGTCTGACATTGAGATATGTTAAGGAGAGGCCGTAGTCACACAATGGCAGGATCAATGTTTCAAAGAGCAGGATTAACATCTGTAGGTCATGCAGAGGAATCTTATGTTGTAATTTCTGGAGTTTGGAAAAATTAGGAAAGAAATGGCAACCAATTTTCATGATGCCATTATGAGTGAATGAGAATGGACTTTAGAGGAGAGAACAGGAGATGGAGTGAGCATGGACAGGAGGGTTCAGGTCATACTTGACACACAGGTGTCTTTGGAGTATTCCTACTCACCTGGTTAGCCTCTCTCCTAGGTAAGCATACAGGGCTTATAGACCTTCTGCTGCTCATAGAGAGGGGGAGAGACATGCAGGAAATGTGTTCATAATGCCAGCATTCGCAAGTCCTTACCCCCCCAGATAACAGCAGAATGTATTAAAAGGAAATATATCATGATTGCACAATTGTGGCATTAAAAAAAAAGGTTATTTTTATCAGAATATATACGTTGGCCTACTTTGCTGTAACAATTAACAGAAATCTGTTTAGATGTGATACAATGCTTAATTTCATCATTCAGATGCTTCTTCCTAAACCTGCCTTAAGAGGACATTGTTGTTTAATTTCCATGCCATTTGATACAATTACCTGTATTGAACTTTCAACATTCAGATTGGTGAAGAGAGTAAAGAAAATGTTGAACATAGGTGTAACCACAGTTTTAACATTTAAACTTGCAGGGTCATTGTCATGTCGGTTTTGTAGACATTGAAAACCTGCATGGTTCAGTGATGATTGGGAAGAACATAATGGCAAAGGCTTTGGATTGAGGAGCTGAAATGCTTTTTGAGGAAAGAAAAAAAAATGATGAGAATTCTAATCAGTTTGAATACCCCCATGTAGAAAGGAAAACACGGGGAATCACATAACTTTTGATGTCTCTTTCTCAGGCTTAAGGAGACACAAAGCCCAACCGACAGATGACTATCACTGCCCCGTGTACGAAGAGGCCTACAGGCGTTCGATGGAGGACCCTCAGGAATTCTGGGCTGAAGTAGCTTCTGGTATCTCATGGATGCGCAAATGGGATCGAGTCCTTGATGACGCCAACCCACCTTTCACAAAGTGGTACGTGACATAATGTTTCACAGAAACATGCGTAAAGGAAGGCTGTATGTGTACATCAAAAAAGGTTGATTTGATCACTTTTTTCAACTTCTTTCAACTCTTAGGTTCCCTGGTGGAATGCTGAATGTATGCTTCAATGCCTTGGATCGTCATGCAGACAGTGAAATTGGAGACAACCCTGCTCTTATATATGACAGCCCCATCACAGGACAGGCAGACAAATTCACCTTTAAGGAGCTTCTCTTCCAAGTCTGTGTGCATTCTTCTTGAAAAAAAAAGGAAACAAATTGTGTTTCTGTTGGCCTGCAATGTAGATCTTAGGCCACTGTCCGTTCTGCCCATAGGAAACACTAAATCTACATCATAATACAATTTTTCCCATTATCACCAAGAAATAAAGCAAACCTGTCTGGGCTCCCAGCAGCTCATTGCTCCCATGTCACGATCCATCTCTTGCACGTCTTGACTCATATCGGTAGTTATATGGAGCAATGAGAAATGGAGTAACACAGGATCCATTTCTGTCACGAGGCAATTATTCACTTTGATGCCTGCTGTAGATGATAGTATTAGAGGGATGAGGAATCAAGGTTGAAGAGGAAGGAGATCGGTTTCTTTAACATTCCTTATTTATATTGCTCTTGTACATGCATTTTTGATTGTCGAAATGGATTCCTTGGTTTTGCATGGAAAGCCTCAGCCCTACAGCTGTATTAACTCTGTAATTTTATGTTAATCATTGATGAATGTGATACATTTTATCAAATTAGTGATACACCTGCTCATGATGGTATGGCAAAAAGACCAGAATTTCCTCTCACAGTTGCTTTATGTGACTTCTTCTTTCGTATGGATGATGAAGCAGCTCTTTTTTATTTTTTTATTTTATTTTTTTTCAGTCACAGGTGTATTTTAAGATTTTTGATCCACTCGATTGCTTCAGGAGAGGCGGAGTGGACTTCCGAAATTCCACCACCGAAGGCGTAGATGCAACATTCGTTGACGATGCGATCGACGGTTTGCCGGTCGCGACCGCAGTCGCATCTCGCACTGTCTTCGATGCGCCATCTGTGCATCAGGTGTCCGCATCGTCCGTGTAGGGTTCTGATGCGGTTGATGGTGGTCCACTGGCGGCGAGGAAGGTCGAAACGCGGAGGTTCGGTGGTGGGATCCGGGACGAGGCTTTTGTTTTTTTACGTCCGCCGAGGCCCATTCTTGTTTTCACCTCCCTCGTTGATGTTGGCTGCGTGAAGAGAGGCGGTTTGGAGGTATAGGGTCCAGATCGGGAGGTCTTGGTATTGTATGACATAGTATTCCAGCAGTGTTGCTGCTTGGCGTCGTACTTGCGGCGGAGAGATGCGTGCAAGCGCCGGGAGCCAGCACGTTGGCGTTGACTTCCACGCACCGGTAACTGTGCGCATGGCGATGTTGAGCTGCGTGTCGACGTGTCTGGTGTGGACGCTGCGTCCCCATACTGGGCAGCAGTATTCCCCTGTCGAGTACACGAGGGCGAGTGACGCCGTCCGAAGAGTTCGCGCGTTGCAGCCCCAGCTGGTCCCAGCTAGTTTGTGGACTATGTTGTTGCGCGTCTTCATCTTGTTGCTCACCCGCACTAAGTGTTGTTTGTAGGTGAGGCTCCGGTCGAGGACGACGCCGAGATACTTCGGCAGGGGTTCGTGGGCGATGGTCTTGCCACAGAACTCGATACGGAGGGTCGTTTTTGCCTCAGCATCGTTAAGATGGAACGCCGAGGATACGATCTTCGTCGGGTTCGGTTTCAGCCGCCAGTAGTGGAAGTGATCTTCCATTATCTTCAGGTCGGCATCGAGGGTGTCTTGGCCCTGCGTCAGTGACGTCGCATGGATGGCGAGGGCGACGTCGTCCGCGTAAGCGAACTTGCGGCTCTTCGTGGCCGGCATATCGCTGGTGTAAAGGTCGAACAGGGCCGGTGCTAAGACCGAGCCCCGTGCCAGGCCATTTCGGTGGGTTCGTGGGCGGCTTCATCGTTTTCCGAGGTGAACTCGGAACTGCCGGTCGCTGAGCGTAGTGGCAACGAAGCGGACCGTATTTTCGCACTTGGTGGTGGTGGCGAGCTTCAGGAGAAGACCGCGGCGCCAGACCGTGTCACGAGCCGACGACAGGTCGATGAAGGCAGCTGCGGTCCGTTGGAATCCAGTCTTTGTCTTTCTCCGTTGGAATCCGGCCTCGATGCGAGTGGTCAGTGCCAGCACTCGATCGGCACGGCTTCGGTGTGGCCGGAAACCTGCCCGTTCCGGTGGTGTGGTGGCGGCCAGGACCGGGGCCAGGCGGGCCAGGATCACTCGCTCCAGCAGCTTATAGGCCGTGCAGAGGAGCGATATCGGCCGATGGCTTCTCGGGTCATCGGCGCCTTTACCTGGTTTGAGGAGCGCGATGATCTCTGTGGAAAGCTTGGCAAACCGAGCTCTTCCTTTGTCGCCAAGATTCTTCAGGAATTCGGGGTCGATCCCGTCGATTCCTGCCGCTTTGCCGGCTTCTGTTGCTGCAATGGCAGCTTTGATTTCTTCGGGGGAGACCGAGGCGGCGAGGGGGGAGGAGTCCTTGTCGCACTCCAGAAGTGCTTTCTCGGTCGCGGTGCGATCGTTTGCTCCCCGTCGTTTTGGCATTGCAGACCAGCTGCGTGGAAATGCTGTCTGCGCCCGTCTTGGGCGGTTGGTATTCGGCCATAGGGGCCAGGAGGGGCCAAGAGGCGCCAAGCTTTGGGGCTCGAGTGCGTGAAGTCCAAGGACTCCACGAACTCGGCCCATCTCGTTTGCCTAGATTGATCCAGGGAGTCCAGCAGCTTTGTAGCCACATCGGGGTTGCCGCTCTTTTGGTATTCCCTGTATTTTTGGTATTCTGTTTCAGCTGTCCACCCCGGGGTGTAGGACTTCCGGAAACCGCGAGGGATGGTTTTCTTCGCGGTATTCATCACGAGCATGACGGAATCGCTCGAATCTGTCGGGGTTTATGGAGATGTGGATTGTTTTTTTCCACGGCGGTCGTGAAGGCGGGCCAGTCCGCCTTCCGGAAATTCCAGCGCGGTGTCGGTGCGCTGGTTATCGCGGGAATCGTGTGGACGATTTCGATGACCGCTGGTCTGTGTTGGCTATGCGGGAAGGAACCCAAGGTCGTTCGGGTCGCTGGGAGGGGCCTCGGTGGAGACGAAGCACAGGTCGGAGGTGTGAGCCCTCGTCCGCCGAGCAGAGGGAAAAGTGCCTCGCTGCTTTCCATCGTAGGCGAGAGACAGGTCTTGCGTAGATGCCCAGTCTGCAGTCTTCTCGCCTTCTGGGTCGTCGGCCTGGTAGCCCCATGCTGTGTGATGGCTATTAAAATCACCAACATAGACTGCAGGATGTTGTGCCAGAGGCAGTGGTGGCAGTGTCCGTTGCTCTGTCGGGGGCTTGTACACGTTGATTCCGGCTATTCTGGTGCCGACAGTGAACTCGTTGTCCGTGGGGATAATTTCTGTCGCTTCTTGGATGTTTTGAGCGACATATGTTGCCATCCCATGTTTCGGGTGGCATTTTGTCGCTATGAGCGTGTAGCATGTGAGGTGGTAGCGTGTGTAGCGTGTGAGGTGGCATCCGCGACGTGAGTCTCCTGGAGGACGAGAACGCCGACGTCCTGTTCGCGGAGTGTCTTCGCGATGACGTCCGCCTTCGATGTTGAGCTGGCATGTGCGGATTGACGGGCCCAGAGGTCGATTCGCGTGGACTTGAGAAAGGCCTTTGCAGTCGGGCTTAATTTCGTTTTCGCTGCTGTTCCGCAGAGGTCGGCTAGCGACATGCGGTTTCCGTAGTGGAGGCACTGGTTCACGCACTTGGACCTTGAGGGAACAAAGCACGCTTAACACGGGGGACCACGAGAAGGTTGCCTACCATCCACCCGCTTTATGTGACTAACGTCTGGTCATCAGCCACATCCATTCTGTCAACATCACAGAGACTTGCAAGTGTTCCCACTTATTAAGAGAGCTTGGATGGCTGTACAGATGACAAAGGTGGCTAACTTATGTAAGCATCTCTTGAAGAACATGGCACCATCCACAGTATCAATAGATACTTGGTTTTGGAATTGTGCTTGATTGGATTCACCAGATTGATACTGATAGGTTGGAAATTGCCTTTTTTTAGGCTGATGATGATTTGAAATTTGTTATATTTATTGGATATGAAGTTTTTTTTAAAATTAGGATATAGTCCATATTTTAGTTGGTAAAAACATCCTTTGTTGGCCATGTTAGGTAAACCATTGACAAGAGTAAGCCATGAATAGTCTGCTCTCTGGTCACATGACTGCATCTTATTGATGCAGAACAGAATTCAGTGAGCTGGTCCTGTGGCTGTTATGGTGATTGGCAAAGTGGTTCAAACCAACTGGTTTGAACAGTTCTGATCAAAGTCTGTGAATTATTCATCCACATTTTATTTTGGTTTATGTTTGCTCCATGGATTAGAATGGAAGCTCCATTTAGTAGAATCTTCCTTGGGAGGGAAAACGGGAATACTCAACACATTGAGGAGTGGAATATGCATGCAAAACCCTCCTATTGGCATGCAGTGAACTTTCAATTGATTCAAAAAGTCACTGCCTGCTGCCTTTTAAAGGACATTCTATCCACTGAGCAAATTCGTCTCCTTCATTTCAATATTACTTCTTGCACTAAATGCTCAATGTGAACACTTCTAAAAGGTGATATTCTGAAGCTCAAAGGTCAGAACTTGTTTTATTTCACAAAATATTGGAATAGTGTCTCATGTGCATTTATTTAGAGTGATTTCTCTGTTTCAGAAGTATTTTTGAGCCTTAAATAAAATGAAATAGCCTTCAACTAATTGCCATTCAGTACAGAATTTCACTCCTCATGAAAAGTGTGAACAGTTTGAGTGCTTCCTTCATGACAACCATGGTGTAATTTTTTAAATTTCTCTACTAATATTAACAGGTAGAGCGTTGTGCAGGGATGCTGAGTAACCTAGGGGTGTGCAAGGGGGACAGGGTGATCATTTACATGCCTATGATCCCTGAGGCCATGATCACCATGCTTGCATGTGCTCGAATTGGAGCCATCCATTCTCTTGTGTTTGGTGGGTTCTCATCCCAAGAACTTGCCAAGCGGGTTGAACACAGCAAGGCACGTGTGATCGTTGCTGCTTCCCATGGAATTGAGCCTAACAAGACCATTTGGTTGGTATGCTATCAGTAATGTTTCTGAAATGTCATTGTTTTTTTTTTTAAACTTTATTTATTTGTTCATTCAAGGTACAAGCAGATTGTGGATGAGGCTATTGAACTTAGTACCCACAAACCAAAGCATGCTGTGATATATCAGAGGCCAAAAATGGAAAAGGTGGAGATGAAATTGGGCTTTGATGTTGACTGGGAGAATGCAATGGATTGTGCCACACCTCATGGTTGTGTCCCTGTTCATGCAGAAGACCCTCTCTACCTACTTTATACTTCGGGCACTACAGGTGAAGTGCCTACCATGGAATTTATGGAAAGATCCTAAATATCCACAGAATCAGGGAGTCTTCATTTTAGGAGAGCCTAAGGGAGTGATAAGGCCATCAGGTGGCCATGCAGTGGTGCTTCCTTGGACCATGAAGTACATCTATGGAATGAACAAAGGAGATGTTTGGTGGGCAGCATCTGATCTCGGCTGGGTGTTGGGACATTCTTACATTTGCTATGGTCCTCTTTTGAATGGCAGCACGACCATCTTGTATGAGGGGAAACCGGTCAGCACTCCTGATGCTTATCAGTTTTTCAGGTGCAGATTCCATTATTAGTTTTCAATCTATGCTTGATGACAGTTTCAGCCAGATTAATTTTGTGATGAATTGGTTGGGAAATAAGTTTTTATTTATTAGGGTAATCCATGAATACAATGCCAATGCTCTCTTCACTGCTCCAACTGCTCTGAGATCTATCAAGAGAGAAGACCCTCATGGGGAACATGGGACCAAGAAGTATCCTCTTCAATCGTGAGCATCTTGTCTGCATTCCTCATTTCAAAGGTAGCACATTTACTTAATCAGATGTCTTTTATCTTTGATTTAGATTCAGGTACTTGTTTGTGGCTGGAGAACACTGTGACTACGAGACAAGGGAATGGGCTGAGAAAGCATTCAAGGTATTGGTGCATGGTTCAACTTGATCAGTATCTCACTATTTTGGAAATGTTGTGCTGCAGATGCAATATCCTGTATAACATACAACACAGGTCCCAGTGCTGGACAACTGGTGGCAGACGGAGACAGGGCATGCAATAACAGCAACCAGTGTAGGACTGGGCTGTAGCACCAGCCCTCCAAGGGATGTATCTGGAATGCCTGTCCCAGGCTATGATGGTGAGTGGCAGCTCAAGTGCCACCTCCTGCTTGTTCTTGTCTTTGTTCACTGGGAGTGCTTTTCACTTCTCTATAATATTCCCATTTCACTCCATGAGTGAATTTCCTTTTTCAGCTTCTAGTGCGTCTAGTGTTGGCTTACATCTGAATTTCAGGTTTTTAATCTCACTGATAGAATATGGTGAATTTTTGCAAATCTCATTCATTTAGATGAGTGGCTACTATATTCATATATTCATGTGTATGAGTGTGTTTTGTTTATGAGTTTGAAATAGCAAGTAACTCAAACAAATTGCTATACCAGTTTTTATTGCAATGTACTTGCATGCTCAACTTACCATTAATTCCATGCAACTCTTCATCTCTTCACCTATCTTCTCACCAATCCCCCATAGCATATTTATTGAAATTATTCTTACATTGTTCTGTGCTCTGTCCAGCTTGGTACTTTTCTGTTCTACCTCTGGTTTCTCTGATATCTGTTGTGTCTTTGCTTTGATATGGCACGAAAGAGCAAGTGTGATGTAGTTAATATGGATGTTTAGTTCGTGTGCTTCGTCCTGATCGTTCTGAGGCTGAACCTGGGGAGCTGGGCCGCATTGTGTGCAAAATGCCCCTTCCTCCAGGAAACTTCACCAATCTGTACAGTGCTGGCGAGAGATTCGTCAAAACATATTTCTCTGAGTATCCTGTGAGTCACAAGTGGTGGTATATGGGTTTCCACCAAATGCAAAATGACATGTAATAAATTCTAACCCATGGCATGAAAAGCATGACTGATGCTTAACCCCAACAGAAATGGAATGATGAAAATCCAAATTTGTTAGCTCTCGTGGATTTAAATAGTTATGGTTACCTTGGGGTCTGATCTTACTCTTTCCTTCCCCAGGGCTATTATGACACTCATGATGCTGGCTTTAAAGATCAGCATGGCTACATCTGTGTGATGTCAAGGGATGATGATGTCATCAATGTAGCTGGCCATCGATTATCCACTTCCCAGCTTGAGGAAGCCATTTTGGAGCATCCAGATGTGTCAGATTGTGCTGTGGTTGGAGTACCTGATCCCATGAAGGGGGAGGTCCCTCTTGGTCTCTACATCACTGCTAAAGGTGAGAAGTTGTACTCAGCTTTTAGTGTGGTTCTGGTATTACTGATACTGTAAGGTACTGATTGCCTTTGACTTCTTCAAATTACCAAGACCAAAATATTACATTAATATTGAACAGAAACTACACTGCTTCATTGTTTACCCATAATTCACCAGTGCTATCACATGATTGTTGCTGAATTCAATTCAGGTTGCAAGAGAGATGCTAAGGAATTACAAAGGGAGATAGTCGAGATGGTTCGTGAAATTGTTGGACCAGTGGCTGCATTCCGGCTAGCAGTACCTGTTGATGCCTTGCCTCGCACTCGCTCAGGAAAGACTCCTCGCAAGATTATTGCTGATTTTGCTCGTAACAAACAAGTCAATGTGAGTGATTCCCACAGCTGTGGATTATTTTTTTGAAGATCCTATTCTATTAGTATAAACCATGTTGCTCAACAAAAAAATATCAACATTGATGAATCTTCAATATTGTGTTGCATAATGTTTTTCATTCCTCATTGCAGTTGCCAGGATCCATTGAGGATCCATCTGTGTTCATGGGTATCAAAGTTGCTCTTCAGGCAGTTGGTTTTGCTTTGGAGGCCCCTGACCCACAGTAGCCTTGCCAACACTCTTTAGGATTTTGTGTTCAGAAACTTGACCAACCATTTTGTATGACATATCTTCTATTTTGTAGTTATTTTTTCACCATGTTCACAGGCATCATTTTATCATTTAATTGGGTTTTGTATAGTTCTCCATTTTCTTCAGAGTTCTCTCATTTGGCACGTTTTCTACATTTCAGACTTGAAAGTCTAAGAAGTTGAAGGAAAATTTTCATCTTTGATGCAGACAAAGTCTTGTGTTTCATGTACTGAATAGCTGGATCTTAAAAACTTACATAAAGTAAAACCCTTGCAGCTAAGTGCCAGGGGACTATGGAAATTATTTTACCTGAGGGATTTCATTATGACCAATATTCCCTTGTTTTTAGTCATTGCTTTTGATTGTAGCTACTTTGTGAATGTGGACAGAAGACACGTTGAGTTTTGCTTTAATATGCTGCCCTACTTTCAGATCTCAAAATGATGTGAGAAGATAAGGAACGAATTCAGTTCCACTCATGATGAAAAAGCATAAGCACTCACACATCTTGATATGCATGCATTCACATCAAAAACTGAATACTTTTTCAAATGGACATGCTGTCCAATGATTTTGATCTCAAAAAAGTTTTGTTTTTCATCCAACATTGATCAAAATTTTAGTGAATGGCCTCTTTTTTTTATCATATTCCAAATGTATCACCTATTTTGTTTTTGTGGACCATCTTTCAATAACAAGCCACCAAAGGTGGACACACCCTGTTGGTGTTTCTACTTTCATTGTTTGATGAACTTTGAAGTCTTTTTTATTGTGATATCCTTCATTTCTGTTAGACAACAAAACCTTTTAGACTGTTACAGTTGTATTTGTGACTGACAGCATTTCATATTGCATACTCAGGAAAACAAGTGATATGTGTGTCTGATAGCGCTTCACATTGTGTTCCATTACTCAGATAAATAACTGATTTGTGATACATTAAATACCTTTCCCCATGCTCTTATTGCATACCCTATTCAAGTTGAACCTTTTACTTGTGATTTTTGCCTTTCAATACTGTGACTTAAGGATGAATTGGCATTTGATGATATGATCAGAAGTATTCATTATTGACAATGAGCTTTCGTGGATGCATGTACAAGTAGTGGAAATTTACCTCAAAGTTCCAATTTGTTAGTGCTTCATATCATTCCTATGTTAAGATGTGCAATCATGTATTTTTGCTGTACTGTATTATTCCATATGAAATAAAGTCCCAAAATGTGGCCTCACGTTTTCAAATCTCCATGATTGACATGTTTGATTCGAGTGTTGAATAAAAGAAGACAGAATAAAAACTGTAACAACACTCATGTTTCAAACGACATGTTCTAGTAAAAAACAGGTCAAAGTGCAACTATTTTTTCCTCTCTTATTACTTCAATCTCCCCTAGTAGTTGCTACCATATGGATTACTAATGACTAAGCATGAACACACAATGAATAATGAGATTCCTTTTGACCATTCCAGGATGAAATTTGTCACTGTAGGGCAGTTTTCTGGTTATGCACAGCCTGGAACTTCAGTTCATACTCCTCTGGTGTCAAACAAGGGTCCATTCCATGCTGCTTCATGTGGCATGCCAACTCGAATAAGTAGTCATAACATTCACACCTGAAAAAAGGAAAAAGGCTTTGATAGCCTTAAACCACTTTCTACCTGGAACATCAAAGGAGAGCACAGGTACTCACATGGTCTTGGTCTTCTGCCAAGTTGGACCCCACACATAGAATCCATGCCTTCGCACAAGGATGGCATTAGTTTCAGGGTATCGCACCATGGCCTCCTCTATGTGGTCCTTGAGATCATATTCTTCTGGCGTGTTTTCCACGACTGGGACGACCAGAATCTCATGGAACTGATAGTTTCTCCCCAGTTTTGGATTTAAAATCCCCTTGGTGGAAAGATTGAATATAGAAGTTGATTTAGGTATATTAACTCTTTTGGATGTTAGCTTTCACAAGGCATAACAAGATTTTGCAGTTATCTTTTTCTTCAGGAGGAAAATTAAAAGCAAACAGTCACTAAAGGCTCCTTTTTGTAATCAACCAATGCCTGTTGAAGCATGGCATGGCCTCTTGCCAACAATTTGAAATGTAGAGCTAGAAATGATACATAAAATTAAAACCTTGAGCATTTCCTGATGGGAAATCTTAAATTCCTTCGCAGGAAAGAAGAGAGTGACCAGGTTAGCCCACTTGGAATGACTGTGAATCACAGCTCCTGCATCCCTCACTGAAAAGAAAACATCAATCATTCAGGTCATTGTTGGTCAGAACCAGTACAATGAGGGTTCTCACATCGATAAGCAGCCATGAAGAGCGGATAGCATTGACTCTTTTTGAGCTTCCTCTCAGGCGAAGGGACATGAAGATCCTTCCCATTCAAGTCATTGACAAAGAGATCATCAGCTGTCACTAATTCCTTCTGAACACCAGAAGGTGCCATGTAGATCCTGTCTCCCTGACGGATGCTCAATCCTCCTCCTGATCCAGTTGCCCATCCATTTTGGTAGAACTGACGAAGGAGATCAGGGATTAATACCCTTGGATCATCCTGCATAGAAAAAAATAAAGAATTGGTACTTCTTGGCCTATATTACCACTCCTTGGACTTTTCTGATCAGCTTTGATGAAGGCATCAACTCAACAGACTAATGTTCATAACACAGATTCTGTGGTTCAAGTCTAGTGTAATGATGATCAAATGCAGGATACAGAAAGGAGGCAAATAAAACTTGTGAACTCAGGCAGAAATTTAATATGCGACCTCCAGCGTATCAGACCATGATTGATGTTACTCGACATCATGTTACACCCATGACAGCAGTCCTTAGGAGAGCAATATGCCTAAGCCTTTTCAGTCAAGCAAAAATTGTTGAAGGCAAATGAAAAACACTAGGCCTAAGCTTATAGCCTAGCGCTAGGACTGTATTTCCCTCAAAAATAGTCACACACACCCCACGATGTGTCTGCTTTGTAAGGATCTGAGTTTTAACGTTGAGACTTTCATAGGCATGCGAGAAGCGCCTGCTGACGAACCTCATGCTTTGACGAAGGGGGGATTTCTTCGTTCCTGCAGGGCACGCTGTTCATGTTGGCCACCATACGTATTCTCCGGAAGTATCAGGGATGCCGGAATTTAGGCTTTCGTTTTTCTACCGAAATTTGATTCATCCATTTTCTTCTTAGCACAATGGGTCATGGAAGCACGACCGTAAGCTATCTTGATGTTTCAATAATGGGCATCTCTTGACGTTCTACTTCGATTAAAGTGACTTCAAAGATTTGAATGAGCATCCTTGTGACTAGTTTTCTTCCCCCAGGCAGTTCGAACATCCCTGCATCGTTAGTCTTTGTGGACAATCATCCCTCCGGGGGAAAAAGCACCTACGTTTCTCCGCGGAAATTTTGAAATATTGCGATCATTGTGTTCCACTCGGCTGGGTTGACGAAGATCGGCGAAGGGATTCTGAAATGTGGGTGTCGATCGCTCAGATGCCGCTTAAAGGTGCCAACACGCCTTGTCACGACCCGCTCACCTGCATTCAGACAGCCGTGACGAAGTAAAGGCGAGATTCGATCATGGTGTGGATAATTTTATATGATACTCTTGATAACGCCTGACTTCTGGGTGATTCGATTTCTGGCAGTATNNTTATGTGAAAGCATATTGAGAATCCCCCCCCCCCCCCCCCCCCCGACGAATCTCGACTCCATATTCCTCGGCTGTCTGTCTTCCCAAAGGCAAAGGCCATCTCCCGAAATCTCTAACGTCAACATGACGTCATCGCAATCCTGGCAGCATTCTCCTGCGGAATATGCGCGTCGTGCCAAAGGAGTCGTTCGAGTCAAAATCCCATTGAGATTTCCTTTTCGAACTAAAAGTTTCATCGCCGATGGGCGTTTCATTGTTGAGAGATGATCCGTTTTCCTCCGTTTCTCCGAGCGGGGAAAGAGCCGGAAACTGAATTTTATTCATTAAAGTCAACTCAGCCGCCATATGAATAATTGTGTCACTCAAAACGGATTCGGTCCGAGAAGCCTCGACGCTCTCGCCATGCATCCATGAATGCATCCATGAATGCATCCATGAATGCGTCCGTGAATGCATCCGTGAATGCGTCCGTGAATGGCATGCCTTCAATAAGGTTGAATAAGGCATGCCTTCAAGTCGGCATTCATCCTTACTCATCCATTCAGGTGGAGTGCTGCCCGTCACCTCCAATTCTCCTTCGATCCTTCTTCGATCCTCCTCTGATTCTCTACTCCGATCAGATTCACTGTAGAATAAAATGTCTTATTTTTTAATATAAATAGTTATTATTTATCTAAAAGTATTTTGTACTTATTATCTAATATATATCCGTCCGGACTTCGGAAAAAATCATGCAGGTGGAAGAAATGTTTCGTCTCTGGAAGAATCTGTGGAATATATAATGCTGGAGTTTCTGTTAAAGTGATATTGGAGTTTTTAAAAATCCATTTTTTTTTAATGATTTTCAAATACTGCAATAAAAAAGTTTATATCCTTAATTGGAGCAAAACTTACGAATTAAAAAAAAAATTGGGAGTGACTTTCAAATCACCCTGGTCATTTTTGGTCCACTGGAGCAGTCGTCGTCAACTTTATTTTTTTACTTTTTTTTCCCGATTCTCTTGCGGTCATCGTGCTCGGGATTTTCACACCCGGTACCATCTCCGAACCAAAATCCCCAAAATAAAAAAATGCAAATTTGTCACAGCCGCTAACAGTTGACTGCCTTGCCATCTTTTGTCAAATAATCAAAACGCCTATCGTCTAAAAAAAAATTCTATAAACAAGGGCTTTCGGTTGTCGCAGGAAATTCCATCTTTGTTATAACAAAAGTTATGAATTAAAAAAAGTTGACTTTCCAATCACTGTGTTATTCATTTAGCAGTCTCGCTATATATATTTCAGTACTTCATTTTTAGTTATAATTTTTT